GCCTCCTAACCCCTCATCTGTACCTCAGAGGGTAAAGGCAGTCCCCACTGCTGAGGCTACTCTTCCAGGGTCTCACATCCCTAGCAACTATCCCTGCAGCCCCCTCCCACAGCCCCTGAGAGCATGGGAGGAGTGAAGGGAATGAAAGGCTAGAAAGCACAGCTCTGTGCATCTCCCCACCCACCTGCTTGCAGCAAAGAGGCTGCCTGGGGCAAGAAAGGGCAAGGGAAAGTGGCAGCATTGCCCAGAGAAGCAGCCACAAGTGCTAGCGGAGTAGCTGAGGCAGGTACAGAGTGCTGGACAGGGGAGGAGAACATTTACCTCCTCATACAGTAGGATCTCATGGCATACTTCTGTTGCTCTTATGGCACACCCTTTGGAAATCACTGTGTTAATACAAGCCAGGATTGTGTTAGCCTTTTTTGCAACAAGAGCACATTATCATTTTATGGTCCACTGCAACTTCCACATATGGTTCTACCGCACTGCAACCTAGCCAGCCATTGCTGTATTTGCACAAGTAATTATTCTGTCCCAAGTGCAGGGCTTTGCACTTTTTCTTATTGAATTTCATTTGACTGATCATGGACCATTTCTCCAATCTATCCAGGTCATTCTGAACCCTAGCCCTACCCTCCAGGGTGTCTATAAATACACCCTATTTGGTGTCATCCACAAATTTTCTGAGCATGCATTCAATCCCACTGCCCAAATCATTAATGAAGATGTTAAACAATACTGGGTGCAGGACAGACCCCTGGGGAACTGCACTTGATACCTCCTTCGCACTAGATACTGAGCCATCTAGGACTATTTGTTGAGCATGATGTGTTCATTGGTTCCCTCTAGTAGTCTGGTAGTGATCTATCACAGCAGCACACTACTTACCCCTGCTGTACCACTTCAGCTGCGCTAGCTAACATATTTAAGGGGTGGGGTCTCTAAACCACAACTATAGGAAGGAGAGTAGTGGCCCTACAGAGGCTGCTCTCCGTGTCTCATCCTACCATGAGTGGGAAACCCATGCAAAGGGCTGAAGGAGGTATTTTATGTCCCTATGTTCAGATGGAGAATGAAAATTCTCATCCATAACATGCAAATGTTTTTAGCAGTTCTGCAGAAATGAGTGGGTTAGGAGTGGTTTATTTTTGGACAATATTTTTAAGCTGCCAAATGTATCGCTTGTGACCACTTCCAAATATTCTTCTACTGACCTTTTGTTACCCCTTCTGAGTCAGTCAAAACCCACTCATCATGATGCTTAATACCAACCTACTTCTAAATATGTATGAAAGCACGTAGAATGTACAACAGTTCCAAATTCCCTATCAGCCCAAATTCTTAATCCACTCCTGTTTGGGGAGTTTTTTGGTTTAGTTTTTAATGTTGTCTTGCTTCTGCCCACACTTTCCATTAAAAAAAACCAAACTGAACAGCTGGGGTTTTTTTCCATTTAATGTCCTTATTATCTACAAATATAGTCAGAAGATGAAATAAAATAGTCCTTATGCTAAGATTTTATCTGAAAAATAATGTACACTCTTGATCTGTAAGAGATTCCCAATTTTTAGTTAGGGAATTTTCATTACCCATTAGTGAGTTTGCAGTAAAGAGCTTGCTATTATGGCGGGAATGATTAGAACTTGTCTAAAGCCAGGCTAAAAGTCATTTTCTCTAAATTTACATTCATATTTATATTATTTTCTGGTAACAGGCCCAAAAATGTCATGGAATGCCTAGCCTTTAGCAAAATTCTTTTCCTCTTTAATTTTAACCAATCTGATCCTGCAAAGCAAATTACCCTTAACTCCCACTTGAAATGAGTAGAAACTGAAAGAGATTCGCACCTGGTACATCCCTGCTAGCAACAGGGTCACAAAAAGGGTGAACAAAAGAGCAAGAGTGACAGCTTTGAGAGACTGCCAGTTTTCCTAACAGCAATGATCTGGACTAAAACTGTTCTAAAGTATCTCAAAGTGATTCAGGTGGTTAGCAAATAGTAGCATTGGGCAATACACAAATAGCCAAGCATTTGTCCTTGTTCAATGCATCACAGTACATTTGCATCAAAAGATATTTATTCTGTAAGTTCAGAATTGCTAAGCAGTCCCATGAGTCAGAGCACAAGTTCTGAGTGCTCTTGTGTGATTATTGTTGCCAGGGAAACTAGATCCTTGCCAGGCATCTATTCAGCCTTTCAGAGACTAAGCGATCATAAGGCACTGGAATAGCAATAGACGTCACAAATGTAATTTCTCTACAAAGCAAATATATTGCTGGCGCACAAGACAGGTTTTTAAATCTGTAGATAATGTGTTTGATGATAAAGTATATTTGCCATGGCAAAGCTGCAGTTAACTGTGCTCTAAAGCTGTGAATTCAAACATATGTTTCCATTTAATCTGTGCTATGTAAATTAAGCCTGCCCAAATCTTTACCTCGTCAAGAAAAAAAAAATCTGTCTAAAAATAGCAGAGATTTGCTGTTTCTTCGTCTGGTTCCATTTACATACATTTTGCAGCCCTGTCAATTATGGCATATCCAAGCCATAATTTTTACTGTTGGTTACAATGGTTACCATCGTAATGTCAGTTTTCTACAATTTTAATCATCTTAAAGTGTTTAACCACATTTTATTTTGTAATGCTAATAACAACAGTATTAATGCTAATATTGTAAATGGTATAAAATGGCTGGTTGTGGTAGGAAAGACTTACCCCAAATGGGCAAGGAGCGGAGCTGGCAGGACACCGAGACAGAAAAAAAACCCGGCGAAAGTGAAACCGCAGCGAGAGAAGATGCCGCATTAAAAGAAAAAAGGAAAAAGAACAGATGAGCCAGGAGGAGTCGGGGTCGGCTCCCAAGTTGGCGTGGGCACACTTTATGGCCACGTGCTGGGGCCAATTTGCGGGCTGGCCACCTGAGACTGGCATAAAAGGCTTGGCGGAAGAGCAACTCGGGGAACCAGAAGTGAGTTCCGTGACAGGCCCGGAGCGGCTTGGAACAGAATGGAGCCCCACTGAAGTGACGCGGTGGCTGCCCCAGGAAGGGGCTTTCCAAGATGAACAGAGCCAGACAAGGCTCAGTGACTCGCCTAAAGAAGCACCGTGGACGTTGGACACCTCCAGCCCAGATTGGATCCAGACAGGATCTAAAGGGAGAAGAAGAGACAGATGTCTGAGCCGTGGCAAGTATAGAGCTGAGAGAGAGAGAGAGGCACCAGGGAGCAAGGTAACCCGGGGTTGGGAAGACGCTTAGGCGGGACCAAATACAGTCGGGAAAAACTTGGATGAGGTAACATCCTAATCCGACCATCATAAATTCAGAGGACCGGAACACCAGAGTTTATACAAACCCACTCTAGCAATCCAGAAACAACATCTTTGGTTTGCATTAGGTGGGGTGTAGGGGAGGCAGAGCCACAAGTAGAAAAAACAGTCAGGAAGATTGAAGGAAAGTACCAGGAAGGGTGGGACAAACCATCTTCCTCCCAATTAAAATATTTAATCTTGCTGGAATAATTTATTCCAGCAAGATGTGGCAGTTGAGACCCTCTGGGTAACCTTCCAAGCTCTAACCCAGTAACAGACCTGTCTCTCCCTTAAGCAAAGGTGAAACCAGAAAAAGCCCTATGGACACGATGCATGGGTGAACGACATCGGAGACTACACTGGTACACATTGATCTACCCTAATAGATAAACTAATCTATGTTAGCATCAAATTAAAGAGGATACATGCAGGATTTGGATGAGATGGAATATAATTCTGCTACAAGAACAGATTAAAATAGGTGTGGACTAATTAAAAATTAATGTAACCCACAAATGTCTGGAGGCTACATGCTGTTATCCTTACTATTACTGTGTAGTATCTTCCTTTTGAATTACACCTGCCATTTTCTGTAGGAGATTAATTTCCCAGTTTTTATCACAAATGTTCTGTGCATTGTTTGGTAAAATACTTAATCTGGCTTTCCTCAGCCCCAATCCCAATCCAGTGCCTTAATTGAAAGACTCCTACCAGTGATACAATTATATCCAAAATCACTAGTAAAGAATGTTAAGGCTGCAAAGTCAGCCTTAACATGTATGCCCCAGTCTTCTAACCTCTGTCTCACCTGAATCCAGCTGTCAAAATTCAAATTGGATAGTTTATCCTGCCACTGTGCATTGAAGCCAGCAGGGATGGCATTGAGAATGTAGGAAAGAGGCTCCCTGATACCAGTTATGTTTAGCATCACAGCAGCCTCCAATAGCCAAGAACAGCTTTTCCAGAACAAGTCCTACTTGGTCATTTTAGCCAGAACATGTCTAGTGCATCCTAAACAATGGAAATTAGTTGTCTTTTAAAAGGCAGGTAACTCAGTTGAAGTTACTGGTTTTCACAGAAACAACAAAAGGTACATCCCCAACCCCTCCCAAGTACAAGATTCCTCCCTGACAAATTTCAAGCCCTTGCTCCTGAGCATAGGCTGCTGGAGCTTCAACTAAACGTTTTTAAACAAACTGATTTAAATCTGTGTTAACCTGGGCACAGCAATGGATTTTTCCCTAACCTTATCCCTCAATGTGGCTGAATTGTTTTTTTCCTGAAACTTGCCAAAAAAGGTCCAGCCTGAGGCCTAAGCACAGGGACCCCAGTGTGGCCTGAACCCAGCATAGAAAATTTTAATCTGGATAGCTAATATTCTACAAAGTTGTACATCCTGAAAGCAAGGTCTAATGGGAAGTTGTGTACTACCAACACTGCCTAGAATTAATCTTATCTTGCATTTTGCTTTCTCTGCTCTTCCAAATATCCAGTCTCTGAGATATTGCCTCTTCTTGAAAGGAGAACTAAATGACATGTGACATCTAAATGTAACTGTGAATTCCATTTGCCGTTATGTGAAAAGGTTTTCAAAAACAAATCCCCAATGACAATCGCTTCTTCCTTTAACAACAGTGGTGTATAACATTGACAAATATCTATTTTCAAATTGTGTTTCTTTGCTTATAGATGGATACACAACCGATGATATCGAGTTTTACTGGAATGGAGGAGAATCTGCAGTAACAGGAGTTAACAACATTGAGCTCCCACAGTTCTCAATTGTTGATTACAAGATGGTAACAAAAAGAGTGGAATTTACAACGGGTATGCACCGTACCTCTCAGAAAAGTGGTTCCAAGACAGAGGAGTCAATGGCTGAATTATTAATGCCACTTTATTCCTTTTTACAGGAGCATATCCCCGACTATCGCTCAGTTTTCGGCTTAAACGAAACATAGGTTACTTCGTTTTGCAAACATATATGCCTTCCACGTTGATCACAATTCTCTCATGGGTATCTTTTTGGATCAACTATGATGCATCTGCAGCCAGAGTTGCCCTAGGTAACTAACTTTCAGGTCTATCAAAAAGAGAGAGAGTACTGCTAGCATTTAAACAAGTTGTTTGTTACAGAAATTACATAAGGCTAATTTAGGAAATGCTAATTTAGTATGATCTTTCCAGTAGCATGTGTAGTACAGTACATAAAGATATAGATCCTTTAAAATCTATAGGGATTAAATCTGTACTGCATACTTCAAATACATTGTGTTATACCTGAGATTCGCTAACCCATACGAATTGCTGTGTACAACAGAATGTAATTATAGCACTTGTCTTGCAGCTGCTTGTTCCTTTATTGCAGAAGTTCATGTCACAGTGTTTAACACCTTCTTTCTCAGCGCTCCAGGAACAAAGGAATTGCCATACTGGATCCAACTACGGATCTATCCAGTCTGGTTCATTATCTCGGAAGAGGCAAAGAGTATAGTCCTCAAAAATAGATATTTATGCCATGGCATGCCTGTGGTGAAACTTTTGCTCTGCAATTTGGACCTGAACAACTTTCAAATAACATAACAGACTTGGATCAGGCCCCTAGCATTTGATCCTTTGTACTGAAGCACAAAAGTTGATATCAGGCATTTCCATCTTAGAACGTGCAACTGATACAATGGCTCAAATCAATAAGAATCAGCATTGCTCCATCAGTTCGAGTGGGGCTGGTTACCAATTTATACCAAATGCAAACCCTGCTTTATATTTCACCCATTTGCTTGCCCAGACTGTGACACCATGTTAGCAGCTGAGGAAACTGGAATGAGGTCTTTACCCTGTTCATAATCTGCGAGTAGAGTTTATACAGACATCTATGTTTAAGTCTATACTTTTAAATTCTAATTGCCTTCTTTAAATGGAGTTTATGATGCCTGAATGAGTCTAGAGCTATTCATAAGGTACATTAATGATCTGTGCTCAGAACAGAATAGAAAAAAGTTCCATTCTTGTAGAACAAAATAAAAATTAATGGTTGGTTGATTAGAAAACTCCCAACCTGAAAATCTGCATTTCATACAACAAGGTGATCCCTTTAGAAGTTAGTAAAGAGGTCTACCTTATGTTGGGCACACCACTTCCCTTACTTCCCTGTCCACCAGCAGTAGCACAAAGCACAGCTAGAACGGGGCATGCACCAGGATTCCCTTGCTGGGCCTCTCTGACACTGCAGGGGAAGCTGCACACTGCCCCTGCCCAACCATAGGAGCAAGTCAATCAGTCCATCTGGGGAGTAAGAGGAGTAGAGCAAGTAGGATGGTGCTCCCCTCCCTCTGCTGCCTCTCTCCAGGGACCTTTCAGTGGCAGGGGAAGTCCTGCACTGCCACTGCTCAGCCACAGCAGTCAGACAGGGTAGCACCACATCAGACAGGATGTCTGTGCGGCAAGGGGACAAGTAGGATAAGCATAATGGTAGCCTGTCAGGAGCCTTTGCCAGAGCGCACACAGCCCTGCTCCCAATATGTGTATATGGGGGACATGAGGAGGCAATGAGAATGGGACACTGAGATCTGGAGGAAGCCCAGCCTTGGGAAAGCTGACACTGAGCAGCAGCCACCACCTCCACCAGAGTAAGACTTTTCTTTTCCTTATCCATGCTGCTCCCTGATACCCAGAGTGCCCTATGCCACTGTCCACCATGACATTCTGGAGCTACTCTTTCTCTAGTCAGAAATTTCACTAATGATATCTTTCCTCTGGATAATATTTACTGTGTGTCCAGGATGCCAGTCAATTTTACTCCACTGTAGGTGAATCTGGCCAGGTGACTACAGCAAGAAATAAACTGGGCAACATCCCCTTATCTAAAAAAACCAAGTGTGCTCCCTCTATAACACACCTGTTCCCCCTGGCTGTGTCAGCCAACACCGGAAAACACTTTATTATCACTTTGGAAAAGGTCTGCTGTATCATAAATGTCAGAGGAGGCTACTAGTGAGAAGAGCAAACCAGAGATAAATAGAGGTAATCAATTAACCCTCCACCCATGGAAAAGGCCAGGGAGAAGGGAGGCACATGAGCTATGCAATATCATTTGAAGAAAAGACTTCTCTCACCTGCAGTTTAAGCACGTAAATTAACATGTTCAGAGAACAAATGGCCTTGATCAGCAGTAATATTATTTTGTTACACTCTTCTAATCAATTAAATAAGCCACCCAGCGTCATAAGTGAGATATGTTTGAGTTGCAGCACCAATCTGCTGCCTTTCAAAAGTGAAGAATGGTTTTAATCAGTTGTCTTTGTCAGCTTATCTTTTTGTTGTTCACAGGAATCACAACAGTGCTGACAATGACCACAATCAGTACCCATCTCAGGGAGACGCTGCCAAAGATTCCATATGTAAAGGCAATAGATATTTACCTAATGGGATGCTTTGTGTTTGTGTTTCTGGCCTTGCTGGAATACGCCTTTGTGAACTACATATTCTTTGGAAAAGGTCCCCAGCGTCAAAAAAAGGCCGCTGAAAAAGCTGGCCAGACTCCTAATGAGAAGGGCAAACTGGAAATGAAAAAAGTCCAGGTAACAGATTCAAGATGATTTTTCATATGCTTTCTATTTCCATTATAGCAAGCTTGGAAATCTCGGGGGGAGGAAGTAGTAAGAAAAGTATGACAAAGAATTAATAAAATGTTTCCATAAACTGTAGTATATCATTACATTTAGGTATGATTTGTCTCATCTCATATTTAACCTACCGGGGCTATTCTGCATTCACAAAATAGCAACATAAATAGTAGGTAACAGAAAAAAGTAGGTATATTCTGTCAGCAAGTGTTAGGTTTGAGGACTGGAAATCAGACCAATAATGCTATAAAGGACCTCAGCAGGTCACTTAAGCTATCATCTTGCCCCCAGGCAGGATGGAGTTTTTTGCAGTATAGATACATTTTTTATATTTCCATGTTATGTATCTGTTGATAATGTCTGTACAGTAAAGGACTACTGTATCAGGACAACAAAGTATCCAGAATTGGATATAAGGTAGTAACAGCATAAAATCTTATATACTCTATATATATGAAAGGCTTTCAAGACAGAAAAAACTAAAAAAAAACTCATATAAAAACATGGAAAGCAATGGAAAGACTCTCCATTTCAGAAAAGCCCAACACAACTGAATTCTAACTATGAGATCTCATTCCACTGTAATGGTTTTCACCGCTGGACATTGTCTTCTTCTTTGCCTTCCCTTGGTATTAGAGTTATTCCTTCTGGAAAACAGTCAAATTGGCTTCAGTTAACCCACCTGGTCACATGAGGTAATAGCCAAGTAAAGAAACAGAACTGAAATAATCTCTAATCCATCCAGCTTGAAATTCTAGAAAGCTTCCTAGAAATTCTTCAACTATCAACAAATTTTTTAATTCACAATAAAATAAAATAATTTAGATTTTAAAATGAACAATTTCAAATATTTGCAAACCTGTTCCAGTTTTGTCAAAAAATGTTGATAAATATACATTTATGCTAGAAATATTGGGCCCAGACTGTCTCACATGAAAGTGTATCACTGAATCAGAAATATAACTTTCTGCTGAATGCTGATTTCCTTCTAATTTCTTTCAAGTGCTCAAGAGATCTGACCTGGGTTAGCATATAAAAAGCAGTAGTCATGTTTGCAAGTACCACATTTACTCAAACACAAGATGACCCTGATAATAAGATGACCCCCAATAATTAGATTTCATACATGGAAAATTTGTAAATGTTATAATTTTCCTTGAATTTGTCCCTCTCCCACTGCTACAGCAGGAAAAATAAATCTGAGGGGTCAGGTAGCCCCTTTGCTCTCTGCTTCCCCACAACTTTTTCCCCTGGAAGCCTTCCCCTGTCTTCTTACACTAATCTATTCTTGTGCTATGTTCCAATCAGCATGTTTGCCCAGTGTGGGCCATGTATTTTACAATATGCTTAATATCAGCTTCATTTAATCAACTTCATAGTTGGTTTCAATTGCTGAGCATGTGCAGATTTTGGCAGCAGTTTAATGAAATGACTGTATTTAGTGAGATTTCCTTGCATGTAAAGAACAAGAGCTTTTATTCTGCATACCAATGGAGGGGAATCCTTGTCTTGTATTTGAGTAAATATAGTAAAGTTTGGGGGGAAAAAAATCTCTTTTAAACTAAATTGGACTTAATTTCTGCTGATGATATGAAAATACTGAAAAAGTGATATATCAATTTTTTATCAGATGAGCCATCAGAGAGATACTGTAATTACATATACATTCACACTTCAGAAACAGATGCCAATTTGGCCCTTGACTGGAAGATCCATGTCCCAGTAGCCACAGAATATCAGGTGGGCAACCATGTTCTCAGTACCAATATGCTCATAATCATCACTGAGCAAGTTAAAATAGACTTACATATATTATTCACTTACTGCTCAGAACAAAAAATGGCTCTATTGCACTACAAAAGCAAATGTGTTCAGACTCTTAACTGCCTGCAGGTGCTCCACAAAATATTGCCCCCACAAAGGTAAGATAACCTATGCCTTTACAGATTGTTGACTCAAGGGAAAGTCCACAAACTTTGTATTTTCAGATGAGATGGGACACACAAACACACAAATATACTGAGGCCAGCTTCAAAGGCCCAAAGGCTCACACTCCTAAGGTACTGTAATGTAGAATGGAACATGGACAGCAAGCAGCCATGATGAAAGCAGGGAGATGCTTCAAGATCCATATTGGCTCAGTGGATTCCAGTTCACTGAGTGAAGAATTCAGAATGGACTACTTATACAGGTGCTTCCTGGGATGGAGGTAAGTTGTTATGGTTTTCTAAAGATTTGTAAATTGTAGTTATATCTTGATTAGGTTCATAATAGCTGATGTAAAACTCTCATATAGATCATAAGTTGGAAGAGTCTTTAGAGAAATGAAGGATATCTGTACCAGCAACTGCCTTCTACACACAGTGGACACATCTACACATACACATTTACTGTACAGTAACCTAAATTACTGTGCAGTATGGATGCATGTCTACATGTGCATGCCCATACTATGCAGTAACTATGGCAACTTACACCAACTTGGGCACCATGTAGATATCAAATTTACACTCGATTAGTTACTGCACAGTCATGTATGTGTAGACACGTTACTGAGAACTAACACTGTGTGTGTGGACTGACTTGGGCCTAACTTTAGTCCCAAGTCAGACCACACACAGCATTAATGCACTTTAGCGCCTGCATATGTAGATGCCGGCCTATTTCCGCTTATCACACAGTAAATTTATTGTGACGTAAATGCATGTGTAGACATGCCCAGTATGCCTGTGATGTGCGTGAGTTTGAACTGATTAAGAGTTTTGCATCTTAATACATTTCATCATCCCACTGGAGTCCATCAATGTCCTTATACGCATGGCCTTGCTTTAGCTTGCAGGATGGAAAATACCAATGAACTAAGGTAATTTTTACCTTTCAGTTTTTAACAGGAAGAAGACATGGGTCACAGGCTAGAGGGGCAATAGGTTGGAATAACTCATCTGATCCAATTATCTCTTGTGTTCCAGTGATTCCTTAGGGGTTCATACCAAAATACAAGAAACTGTTTCTGGAGAATAGGAAAAGAGCATCAGTAAGTATGAGATGTGACTCACTCATAATACATTGATCCATGCTATATATTCACATAAGCACCACTTTAAGCACCCTGGTGTAGATGTAACAATTCTTCCTTTCTTTTCTGACCAGGTTAATATGTTACTAATTCCTACCTATGCCTTGGGTACCAAGAATTAATCTTCCCCTACATCAGACACTATGCTGTTAGATACGCTTGAGAGATGCATGCAACCTTATCTCGCAAGTGACACGGGATGTGGAAGACAAGTTTAATGACCTTGTAATGTTTCATACATGGCTGTTTTCACCATAGCTGGAAGGAGGAGGAACCCATGACCCCTCCAGTCTCACAGTAATATGTTGTTTTTAATTACTTTAATTTCTTTATACACAGAGGACATTTTTTCATTGTTATTAAAACTGCTTCTTATTTTTCCTGAATAAAACATTTAAAAGTGATTTATAACTCTGTCCTCCTTTTGTCAAACCAAGATGTCACTTCTTAGGGAGGTCATAGATTTAGATAACTGGAATAAAAACATCCAGAGGAGTTAAATATTTAGAGGGTCCCTGTATGCAAATGTTTGTTTCACCGGCACTTATTTTTAGATCATTAATCACTTAGGAAGCTCTTACGTTTTGCTTCTGTGAAGTTCAGGTAATCTTCTCGTTATCATTCTGTCTAGCATTATTGCTCTGAGGGCCTTTATTGTGCTAACTCTAATAGGATTATTAGTGAGAGAAGCCACTCACTACTGAGAGGAAATTTTTCAAAATCTGGCCAGAAACCTTCATCTTAAGATGAACAGAAAATACAGGAAGTCATAGCAAAATGCATTACTGCATCTGTCGACTTATTTATATAAAGTAAATAAATTCATCATTCATTCTAGAAATACTGAACATTTCAGAGCCCAGCTCTACTAACAAACTGCAATGAGAAAAAATCATAGTAAGCAATTCCTATAAATCTGACTTACCACACTTTGCAGGTATATAATATATTTTGTATATGCAGCCAAAACTTTCAGTATTGCTTAGGAGCCATGAAGCATGAAACAGCATTCATCACTCTCTAGATAAAAGTACTAGCTTGAGTTTCTTTGAGTTTGTAGTGATGTCAGTCAGCAGTGAGGAGTCAGGCATGTGTGCTCTATCTTGGTATAGGTTGCAGGGAGCTTTACTGAACCTTTCTGAAAATGAAAATGGAGTATTCACATACAGAAGCTATTACTCTGGCATAAAAAAAATATTAAGATGTTTTTATTATAAAAATAGTCATTGCAAACCACCTCACTAATCTGAAGAATATTTAAACTTTGATACATCTATGTAGAAAGATGAGTTAACTAATAGTATATCAGCTCTACTATATTTTTTATAACTGCCTACATATCCTTTAATTTCCTTTGGGATGACAACAAATAGAGTAACAATACTTTCCATTTCCCTAGCTACTTTAAGCAGTCTCACATTGCATCTCACCAAAATTAATTCAGGCTACAGTTATCTCTGTTGCGCAGGGAAATGTTATCACCCTGTTATAGATGGTGCAACTTAGACATAATGTTTATCCAAGTTAACTCAGGGATTGATTCATCTCTCCTGGCAGTCCTGTATTTTAACTATAAGGGTGTCCTTTGTCTATCTGCTCTTCATCCTGTAACTGTTCACGCACAAAAGAATTCAAGGAAGTCACTAAGACTACTCACTAGATTAAGATTGTACAGATCTGCATGTGCACTAAATATTTAATTATAGTTACATTATATTTTTAAAAGAGCAACTATACATGAAATTCACTAAACAAAAGGTCAAAAATCCATCACTCTACACAGCTTACATTTTAAAAGTGACTGCTCATTTTGGATGCCTCAGTGGGAGTGGAGAGGCAATTCAAAAGAGCAAACATTGCTGCATACAATTTTGGCTCGAGATGCTGCACCTCAGAAATGTCAAATATATTCAGTTTGCAAAATAGTTGAAGGTTTACACTGAGACTAAATCCAATCTACTAGGGCTATGCGAAGCTTCAGTCCCTGATTTGATTTGGCCCGATGCGGCGACCGAATCTAAATCAAATCAAGAGACCCTTTAATCTCTCCAAATCGAATCAGAACCCTCAACATTGGTTTGGAGAGATTCGGAAAGATTTGGCGATTTGGACATAGACACAGCTTTAACTGTTTTTTCTACATACCTCATGGTACCAGGCGGCTCGTGAATGCTACAATACTGGGGCAGATGGAGCATCCCACAGAAGCGTGGGAAGCTCCCCGGCACGCTCAGCAGCAGACCCAGCAGTGGACCAGAAGTACTTCCAGTCCACTTCCAGGTCCACCGGGGAGCGCACTGGGGTGCCCCCCCACACCCTTCTGGCTCGGTGACTGGTGCCTCCTGGGTCTAGGAGGGGCACCTGGGGTCCCCCTGCAGCCAATTGCTAAGCTAGGGGGCACAGGGAATGCTCCCCGGTGGACCCAGAATTGGACCAGAAGTGGAGGGCCCCCTGCCGAGCATGCAGGGGGGGCCCCCCACACTCCTATGGGATGCTCCATCCGCCCCACCATTGCAGCATTCATGAGCCATGCCTGGTACCTCGAGGTATGTAGAAAAAACATTTAAAGCTGTTTCTGTGGCTGAATCACTGATTCTCTGAATCAGCATCAAATCTTCAGATTCGGATTCCGCTGAATTGAATCGGGGACAGTGACCTGAACCAACAAATTGAATCGCTGTCCCTGATTTGGGCTGAATCCGAATTGAATATGGCCTGTTTTGCACACCCCTACAATCTAGTAATATGCATTGTTGGCCCCATCATGGCCTACCCAACACAAGATATAAAGCTGTCATTAGGTATGTTTCTCAAAACATTATGACTGAATTAGAATCAGCTTCCCAGGCTGACCTTGGCAGCATGTTTGTCCATATTAGGCTTATGAAAAAGCCACAAAGCTACACCACAGAAACAGCATATCCTAGCTGGGCTGAGCACACCAGTGTTGTAGACAAGCCCATATAATCCTTTGTTAGGTGGTGCTGCTGATGAAATTGTTTTAATATACTAAATTTATACAATCTTGCTTTGCAAATACTTATTACAAATTACTTCTAAAATTAATGTTGTCAAGATTGATGACTGTTCTGCAAACAAGCTTCTTTTGGGGATTTCTTATAGCACGTACATACTTTTCCTAGACTCCTGCTACACCTCAGTAATTAAACTTTAGCTATATGGCTTGATTAAAAAATAACATTATTTGGAAATTTTAGTACACCTTTAAAGTTCTAATAAAGATACAGATGCTGAATCATCTACTGAACTAGCTTCATATTACCCAAGCAGAAATTTTGGCTCAGCTTTAGTAGATTAACTGCAATGCCTCTCTTTTGAAGAGCATTAATTCATTAAAGATCAACATGAATTGTAAGTTTATGAATTGTAAAACCTATAATTCAAAGCCAGTGAATTGCTTTATGATTTATTCAAATCAGCAGGCCTAAAATGATTTAAAAACTCATTTTAAAATGTAACAGGATCATTCTTAACACTTAAATTAAAGCAATAATTCATATGCCACTTGGCTTGAAATAAACTGTGAGTATATATTAGTTTAAAGGGAAAAACCCATATGACTCATCAATTTAGATTTTAGGCACTTGTGAGTAGTTTGTCTTTACAAGAAGAAAACATAACAACTTAATGATGCTTACACTGCTGCTGCAATGACATTACAAAACTGTCATTTCATTTACACATAGGATTATACAGCTTGAGAGACATATTTCATAGACTTAGGGGAAAGAATGGTCCCACAAAACTGAAATAAAAAAAAATGTTTTTAAATCCTATTCCACCTCAGGACAAATCCGAAGTATTTAAATGTTTCGTTGTGGAAAGCTAAATAAAAAAGCAAACTACTTGAAAACAGCAAATAACTGATTGGTAAGGGCACTCACCCAGAGTGTAAGCAACTCCCAGCCCAGAGGCTTTAATGTTGATGTCCCACACCCTGGGTGAGTATCTCAACCCGTTTGATGTGGTCATTTGGCTGTTCTCTCTCCTCTTATGTCTATAACATGGGCTTCCCCCACAAAAGTTTTGAATTGATGCAAGCCCACAGATAATTTTGGTTTCAATATTTCATCAAAACATTCCCAAACATCACTGCAACACTACCCAAACAGCTTTAATATTCATTTCCTTCAGAAAACTCCAGGAGAACTTTTGTTTCTGCAGAGGGAAAAGAAAACCTTTTTTCCCCTCAAAGCCTTTCTTTTTTGTGCCTTTTTCGACAGACAGTTTGCTCTTCAGGGCAGGAACAGTATCATCTTTTGAGGTGGGTTGTGGTGTCAGCCAGACATAGATCACACTTAATGGAATCCTTTCTAATTCAAATGATCACCATCCCTACTGTGTGATGCACGGATGAAAGTGAAGTGGCTGATGCTCCATCCAAATAAAAAAAGTAATGACAGATCTAGTGGAAGCAAGCAGATGATATACTGAAGATTGTACCTTTCCTGCTG